CAATTATTTTGTCCGACCCCTGTATATGCGTTATATATACAACTTTAACAATCAGGAGATCAGTTGAATCGACTACTTTGGTTTCAACCTTACAGTATCCTCAAGCGATTTTTATCAAATGACTTCCTAAAGCTTTATTAAAAAAAAAAAAAAAAAAACTAATGAACGCTATATTATTTTTTTTTAACAAATGAATAGACAAACGCACGACGTTTGGGTGTAATAGAAGAAGAAGAAGAAGAAGAAGAAGAAGAAGAAGAAGAAGAAGAAGAAAAGCAAGGGTATTATAAAAGTATCGGCGGTAATTGAAATGCACCTTTTTTTATCCAGCCTTATATGTGCTTAAGAGGAATTTCTTAATATGTATGCAAGGACTCAATACTTCGGAATTTTAGTTAAAAAGTTTCTTTGAATCCGGAAATGTCATTATTTGATGACTTGATTATGTGCCGTGTCCTTTCAGGGCGTAGGGGATCATCGCTCTCTAGTTCCCCCTATCCCTTGTGGCTCTCAACAGGTTTCCCCAGACCACGCTCCGCCATCCACCTGCCCAAACCGGCAACTAATGTCATTCGCTGCTTTCCCCTGTCTCTTTTTCCCCCTATATTTGTCCCATGAGTATCAGATTCTCCACGCCCCCCTTTCTCATCACGTGTCCCATTTTTATTTTATTTTTTTCACACGTGTATTATATAAATATATATATGTGTGTGTGTGTGTGTGTGTGTGTGTGTGTGTGAGGTTAAAGTCATATAAAATTAGTTTTCTATTTTTGTAGCATGTTTTCAGTTATACATTCATTTCTTGCAATGACGCCATTTCGATTCTTGAAAAAAAGTCAAATTCTATTTCTGCCGATGCAGATAACCAGAAGCATTTTCCCATAAGTTGTTGCTTTTCAAAAGTACGATGGACAACATAAACACACACACACACACACACACACACACACATATATATATATATATATATATATATATATATATATATATTAAAAATCAGGAGGTCAGTTGAATCTGCTACCTTGGTTTCAACCTTACGGTGTCGGCAAGCAATTTTTATTAAATATTTGATACCGTAATTACCATCATGGTTGAAACAAGGGTAGTGGATTCAACTGACCTCCTGATTTTTAAAGTTAACATCTCTACATGTTACTTTTACTATTATTGAGCACTTTTTAATACTACTGTTTCCTGGTCTGATTCAACTCTGACCATTAACATTTTGTGCATTATAACTGCGATATATATTTATGTAGATATGTTAATGTTGAAAGAATATGATATATAAACTCTTTATATCAGACGAAGATGGGTAATAAATCGGTAGAAAGTTGAATGCGATCGGCTAGGTTGTGCATCTCGATTCATCGGAAGCCCAAAATTTGGTATTTAAAGTTAAGCTTCCTTGCATTTTCAGCATTTCTCTCGATGTATAATCCTAAATGACATTTGTTATATTTCGTTCCTTCCGCCACCCCTGCTACATATATATGGTTTCACCAGTAAATACATTATTTAGTCTGAAGAAGACCTTTTTTAGAACGGAACGCGTGACATGTTTCCACTTTGTCATTCAATTACCCACCGCCGGGTGTTGAACTCAATGTCCACTTTTATATTTACATAGACTCTATTCCTAATAATGAGCACTTTAACCCATAAATATAACATACCTTAAAGCTTAAAACTATATATATATATATATATATATATATATATATATATATATATATATATATATATATATGCCCAGGATTTTCCCCTATTTCACCTTTCTTAACAGAATTACTACTCTCCCAAACAAACGTACACAACAATATCGTGAAATCAAAAGAAAATGGTTGAATCCGCCAACACAGCTATGATAACAATATCTCCACACGTGACAGTAATTGACGTAATTTTCAGTTAACTGTATGAAAATAGCGTTCTCTAAATTCTTCCAGTTAATAAGGACATATTGTTTTGTTTTTGTTATTATTAGTTATTTTGTTTAATAAATTCATTTCGTTTTTTGCCTTGAGTAATAAGTCCACATTGGACGAAATGCGTCGGCAAATATTACAGTTTTCCTATTGTCATTTATATATATATATATATATATACCAAGTATATAATTGGTATATACAGAATGAATTCCAATAACCAACAATTACTATTCTTAAAAGAGTGCACAATACAAAGTAGAGCAGATATAATTATTTTTTATAAAAAAAAATTATAACATAAGTATGTGATAAAATCACTACAAAAATAGCCATTTTGTTTCAACACACTCTGTGTCTTATCAAGTGATGATGTTGAAAATAAAATAAATGGTTTTAAAAGTTTCAGATTAATTAACGATCCTACACTAGGGGGAAACATTGTTACAAAAGCTAGAATAACCAATCAGAAACCAAGTATAGAAACATTCAAAAGCTTGACAACGAAATCATGTTATAATAGCTATTCAGATCTTTAAATTACGTGTAATATTAAAAATAATTTATACTAACCAATAATTATAAAATTATATGATAAAATTTAATATTAAAATTAAAAACTAGCAATTTTAAAATCCAAATTTAATCACTATTTGGATTTTAAAATTGCCAGATTGAATTTGAATGTTTTTGTAGTGATTTTATAACATACTTATGTTATAATTTTTTTTTTTATAAAAAATAATTATATATATATATATATATATGCAAGAGTTAATAGATTTATTTTAATCTGTCATTTTAAACGTTATTATATTTAAATACTGGTATTTGAAATAGACACCCCATTTTTACTTTTAATTTTAAAAAATGTGTTCTACGACTATCTACATGAGATTTCTCGAATACACAGACCGATATACGTAATACACGCTGTTTAAAATTAAAAATAAAAACGTGGTATATATATATATATATATATATATATATATATATATATATATATATATAATCAAACAAATCCTTTTACCTCATATGGGGAACTGGCTATTTCGGCTGACGACGAAAGTGGTCGTCTGTCTTTCCAACCCCGGTATGGAATGAAATGAAATTCATATCTATAAGGTTAGAGGAAGCAGAATGTAGCAGTTGATATTAGAAGGTAAAGGGTCAAATTAAACCTTAACTTGCCGGAAACACTTAATACGGAGTTTACACTTTTAACTGTTTCAGTCAGACGTTAGACACGAGACAGGGGCCAAGGAGAGTTGTAAGTATCTATCTTAAAATGAAGAAGTTTTATTAAAAAAAAATGATTAACATTATGAAAATATTAACGTTATTAAATATTTTCAGATTACTAGAATCCACTTAGATTTCTTACTATATATATATATATATATATATATATATATATATATATATATATATATATATTTGGTTGGATAGATGTGATGTTTTAAAAAATTTGGGGTTATGTAGATTGCGTGTACTGGTGTTATTGTGGAAGTGGTGGGGAAATTTCGTCGTTTTGTCATTCATCGTACTAACGCAAACATCGATGTATGCAGACACATATACATACTTGGTCGTCCGTCGGGACTCATGCATATATAAACATATGTGGGCAGTTTCGGCTATGACACATGTATGTATACGGGTGGTGTTATATCTATACATACGCATTTGTATGTTGAAATGTTGAAATTTAAACATTGGAAGTGTTTTTTAAAACATTAATCAGTTTGTCTGACGATCGCTAAAGCGTGAAACCCAGGGTCACAAACTCACATCTATCCAACCAAATATGTTAGCTCTATCTCTGATATTGAGCGCTTTCTAATAAGTACCGCGCATATAATATATAAATAATTATACATATATATATTTATTCATATTTATATACCCTTTTCACATATACATATATATATATATATATATATATATATAATAGCTGGCCACTCGTATTCGAGGATACACGTCCACTAGGGCAGCTAGCCAGGCCCTATTGCAGACTCTCGATCAGGCACATTTGTGTTTGTTCAACAACCATAGACCCAATCTGTGATTTATACTGCAACTATGCTGAGCAGACCTTAGTTACAGTTTCTGGGAGAGAGCATGTTATCTAGCGTGATCAACAATGTGAACAAGGCCAGCACATTCAAACCCTCGGCCACGATGACTTGTTCGTTCGTGCTAGCACAGCTATCGACAGCCTCAATTGTTCCGTCTACCAAATTTTACTCACAAGGCTTGGGTCGACCCGTGGTATGGTTTTCAGGCAGTTTCCAAAAGTGCCGCACGATGGGATTGTCTCTCTTCCAGACCGATAACATCAGGAAGTCTCCTTTCTGACAAATCGACCAAGGTGTCATTCGAACCCGGGTCTCTATATACACGTGTATGTTTATTTACAGTGAAGTAGCAATAAAATTAAAAGTTTTCAGCCAACCAATGCAACAAATGATGCAATGTATAACAAAGTATGCTGTTAGCCAAAAATGGAGACACCTTGTTCCAGAGAATATCGTGGAAAATGGCTTCACAGAGAGATAAATGGCGGAGTGCCAGATTTGGTTTGTGCACAAATCGACTCTAAAATCACGTCAACATACCTTGGTGCATCCTTCCGCATTGTCTCCAATGTCAAGAAATCCACAGATCCATGCAGAAACATCCAGAGATGGGCAACAGAGAAGTTAAAAAGACGCGGAATCGGAACTTCATTAAAACCTTCATGAGCAAAACTACAGAAGAAACAAAAACCTTCCTACATAAAAACTATAAGAGAAACCCCAAGACAGTCAGAACATTCCCTCATGACAACCTAGGCCTTCTTTGTTTTAATACGAAGGCACCAGAGTCCTTGAAGGTCAGGTGGCTGGAAAAAATACAAAAAAGTGCCCTGGTACATTTAGATTTAAGTGACCACTAAATAATTCCTAATGGGAAAAATCTCTACAGTGGACATCTCAAATGAGCGGTAACCTACAGAGAAAGGTTAATGTTACATGTATCTTCAGGGTGAAACATCCAGTTCAGGTCATGATTTGGGTACTGTTGGCTTTCTCGTTCGATCACCTAAGTTAAGCATCGTAGAGCCAGGTCAGTTCTTAGATAGGGGACCGCTTGGGAACACCTAGTACTGTAAGCAGACCCCTACTACCGGGGTAAACTTCCAATTTGGGCACTTCGGCGTGGTGTAATGGTTAGCAAGATTGTCTTGCTAGATCAGTTACTACTGAAAAGTGAGTTCGATCCTCACTGAATGCTCCATACTTTCGGCCTTGTGCCACATCTAAGCTACGCTTAGAAAATCTCTACTGTGGTCTAAGCAACCAAAATATTGTCAGATACTTCTGTAAGCTTGGAGAAAAGGTGGGTGCTAAAGACTACTACAAGGTCCTAGGCTACCATGTTATAGCATGGTTCAAGGCCAAGTATCCAGTGGACAGTTATGCATGAACCCACGATGGTGCTTCTGGCCACACAGCCGAGAAAGTGCAAAATTTCTACACGGTTAGATCCGTTAGATTAGTGGAGGGTTTAGGAGCAGACATAAATGCTTTCTAGATTGCTGTCAAGGAGTGGGTCAAGACTGTGTTGCTAGGAGTTGTACGGCTTTTCAATGTCGTGTTGTGGCTCTAACTAAAAATAAGAAACAGTCAAACTCTCTGCCTGAAGGCAGAGAGGAACCCGGATGAGGAGTCTTGTTCGAGGAGGTTGACTGACCCTGAAGCCATTTATACAGGTTCAAAAGGGAATATTTTTGGCTGAGCCTACGGGCTCAGAGAACCCCCATTAAACCCGGCCTTATGACACATGCAACCCTCGTGAGTGGGTGGGTGGCTAGATATACTAAAAATAAGAAAAGCTACAACACAGCATGAAACAAACTTTCGAGGCTCGTTGTTGACATCAGTATTCCCTTTTATATTTACCTGTGCTCTCTTCCTGATATTGATCACTTTTACCCATAAATATAACATCCGTTAAAACTATATTTTTCATATATATAGATATGTGCCTGTGTGTATGTATGTATGTGTGCGTGTGTGTGAGTCACAATACAGCAATTCTCTAGTTTGCATTTTAAGAAAAGCACATTTTCCCACAAAGATATTTTTAGGGCGATAGACGTAATACACACTATTTACATTATTTGGACTATTGTCCTCATCTTTGTCACCATGTTTATCACAACGCTTCGGCCGTTGTACGCTCCGGCCTTCTTCAGGTGGTTGGAATGTCCAACTGAACCATTTATTTCGCTCACTGGGGTAGGCTGTTCTAGTTCCACGTGCCATGTCTAATGGAAGTCAGTTATCAGTTATCTCCTGTTAATTTTCCTCTGAAAGTTCTCCACTGCCTTAACCAGGTATTGAACTCACACTCTTTGGGACCTGTCACTGGATTAAGGACTCATGACACAGTGAATAAAGACGTTAGTTAGATCCAGTGACAGGACCCAAAGAGTGTGAGTTCAATACCTGGTTAAGGCAGCGGAGAAATTTCAGAGTAAAATTAACAGGAGATAACTGACATCCAGTGAGCGAAATAAAGCGTTCAGTTCGACATTTCAACCACCTGAAGAAGGCTGGGGCATACATCGGCCGAAACGTTGTGATAAACATGGCAACAAAGATGAGGACAGTAGTCTGAATAATGTAAATAACGTACATAATACCACATCTCAGAAATATAGATGTAATACACAGTGTTTATAGTAAAAATAAAATTGAACCGTCTATTTAAAACACGAGTATCCACTATAATAATGCTAGAATTAGTAAAAAAATGTCGGATAAAAAATAAAAATCGATTAATTCTCCAAAAATTGCTTTGTTTACGTTTCACATATGAAACTGATTATATATGGGCTTTTGAGAAAAATAACTTATCCAGGAAGTGTGCTTTCCTTAAAAGAGAATATATATATATATATATATATGCATGTGTGTATGTGTGTGTGCATATTTTGAACATAGATATTAATTAAGCTTACCTTTAATCCAGCACCAAAGGATAAACAGACAAAATGACAGTATTCAAAAATCTGGTTTGAAACCCCCTCCCTCACCAGGAGGATTATCCCAATGGAGACCCAATGTAAGAGATGATCGCTATGGGGTGGCTTAGTCAACATGCAACTTAATGACATAATTTGTGCGAGCCAGCCAGATGTAGCTCATTTCCCTTGGCCATTGCCACAGACATCAGGGTGTAATCTTGTAGTGACTCTGGGGTGGTTCTGTCTGGGAAACAGATCCAAGCCTCATGTCTACTTTTTGATATTTGAAGTAAGGCCAAGATAAAATTAGATACTTATATATTCAATGCCTGTTCAAAATTTGGAATGAAGATTTTCAGGGAAAGCAAGCAATCTTTCTCACCCACATTTCATCCACGCAACTATCTCAGCCACCAGATTGGCTACAGTTATTTTGAATAATAAAATTTCAGTTAGGGTATATTTTAATTTTTTATTTCAAAAAAAGTAAATGAATTATATATAAAAATATTTTTACTAAACTTCAATTTTTCACAAAATTGAAAGAAACTTTATACATCTTCAATGTACAGGCATATATAGCATATATATATGTGTGTGTGTTTGTGTGTGTGTGTGTGTGTGTGTACATGTATGGGTACATGCTTATACATATATATATGTGCATATTTGTGTATGTATATGTGTATGTGCATGCACACACATATGCACTCACAAATGTGTGTGTGTGTATATGTGTGTATGCATGTTTATATATATATATATATATATATATATATATATATATATATATATATATATATATATGTACATATTTGTGTGTGTATATGTATATGCACATATGCAGATATGCACATCTATAGCTATATACATATATATGTGTGTGTGCTTGCAGGTGTGGGTGTGTGTGTATGCATGTTTATATATATATATATATATGTGCATATTTGTGTGTGTGCATATTTGTATGTGCATGCACACACATAGATAGACAAATAGATAACAGATTGGAAATTTGAATTTCCTCTTTTCTTTTAAATCTCTTATAAAAACAACAAATAAAAGTGGCAACAATTTGATTTCAAAATTCATCATTTTTCTTCCTCTCTTATATAAATAAAAAGCTTATCATACCAGACATAAAATCATAGAAAACAGGACATTAATATCAAATTAGATGGCGTTATAAAATTCTTTTTGTTTTTTCATCTTAAAATGAATGAAGACAATGTTCTGAGTCGGCCACTTTGGGATAAGAGTTGAAAATAATTCGTTCTTCACACCCTCTGGAAAAATGTTTTTTCTTTGAGCTTACCATCAGGAATTATATTGTCTTTTGGATTACCATAAGCCCTTAACATTCCTTTTCTTTTTCATTTTTTTTTTTTTGTATTGCAGTAGGTATCTAAAACATCCCTTTTGGGACCTTTAAATACTTTGATTTGAGATCACAAGGAAGGCAATTAAAACAGAAATAAAAGTTCTTAGGCTAAAACTTTGGTTATATATCCTTCAAAAGATATTAATTATAACAAAAGATAATTGGTGACTTTCAGTTAACATTAAAGAAAAATATTTGTCAAATAAATAATAGCCAACAATTTAAGGTTTTTACTTTTTACTAAAAAGGTTTTATATTGAGTGAATCAGTTTTCAAGAAATATTGAGGCACTCGAAATAAAGTTACTATTTTAGTGAGGGTTCATTTTTCAACCAAGTGTGATTTTTTTTCATAAAAATCACTCCTATGATTGTATAAAAATTTGTTAAAAAGAATTTTTATAAATATTAATGAGATCATTTTATTAAAAAATAAATTTAATTTTAATCAAAGTGAATTTCAACTGATGTTTTAGGAATCAATGAAGTGAAATTCAAAGATTTCATTTGTAAAGATCAAATTTTGGTCATGGAATAAAGTAAATTTATTTTAAGTGCTGGAAAACTGATGATATAAAATCTCTTCTTAACTTTGTTAAATGTTCAAACAGTCAAGTACTAAATGAAGAATGTTCTGTGTTAAATGTAACAATGCATTATGGCAATTAAGGAATACAAACCGTTCTTTTAGAAATAACTTCTAATCATTGGATTTTGTAAATTCAAAAAGCGAATAGCAAATTAAAGTTTCCCAAATGTCATAAAAAAAAAGCATTGAACGTACCTGTTGCTCAGTAAAGTGAATTTTAAAAAAAGATTATCTTCTATTTTTTAAAAAAATTAATAATCTTTTTAATTCTTAAAATATTACCATTTCTGTAAGTCCAACGAATAAAAGAAGCAAAACAAATATATAAATTTAAAAGAATAAATTAAAAAAATGTTAAAAGATAAAAATAATCTGAAAATAATTGAATAATGTAGTAGTCAAAAAGAAAAAATTATTTACGGAATGATTTTAAAAATAGATTTTGTAAACCAGATTGCAAAGAATGGGAAAAACAAATCTGAGATTTACAAGTGAAAAACATTCAAATTTCTTCAGAAATTCCCACATTACAAAATTAAGAAATTCGACTTTAATTCTGGGAAAAAATAATCAAAGACATGTGAATAAAACAAACTGACAGTGTAATTTTTTTTACCTGATCTCATATTCTATATAATTTTTAAAAAATTTTCAAGTATTTATTATCTTTTCAAAACTAAATATCCTTTCGAAACTAAATATTACAAAGTAGACAGTAAAATTTAGGAGTAAATGTAGTTCATGGTAATTCCAATTCACTCAATATCTGATACACACACACACACACACACACACATATATATATATATATATATATATATATATATATATATACAGCATGAGGCAAAAAAATGGATGCACCCATAAAAAGTCGATATTTGTATTTTTACCAAGACAAGGTAGTAATAGAATTAATTCATTAATACATGGGATTAATACAGGTGTACATATGTACATTATACATAAGTCAAAAAATGATTTAGTAACGATATCAATCCTAAGCATACTGCCTTGAAGAATAAACGTTATTTAGAGAGGAAGCATGATGAGGGTAAATTGCAAATCTTCCAGTGGCCTAGTCAGAGTCCTGACCTTAATCCAATTGAAAAACTCTGGGCGATAATTGACAAGTGTGCCCGTAATAGGAAAGTTAACACAGAAGATGAGCTTTT